AATTGAGCTCTCGACCATACGCAATTGATCAGTTTCAATTAGCGTGGCATGCGGCCCGCTCTATTTCAGCAAAACAATTTTAATGCCAGTTAAGTTGAGATGCTATTTACAGTATCACTCGGGGTATTCGTGGACAATTAAGGCTTTCCGATAGACATTTTTTTAGATCGGGGAACCAATCGGGTTCGGGTCAGATGCTGGACGATTTATAAATATTTGTGATTGAGATGCAAGATGTTCGAATTCGAAAACCAGTTTCCGCCAGAGTTACATGATATGATGGACAAATTGATTTTGCAGGGAAGCTTCTTTACACGCGCTGGAAATAAAAATTCAAGACCGTGATACGCGATACGACACGCGACACGACAGGCGAGACGAAAAGTAGTAAGGACAGCTTACAGCTTAGAAAAAATTGTCCGATTTAAATGAAATTTGGCATGCCAATAGAAATTTGGCATGTCAATAGACCAAGGCTAACTAGGCCGTGTACGACACGTGTCGCTGTGATAGTTGGGTTTGACGTAAGAACCGCCAAAGGTTGATGACGTCCGATTTGGTGGGTATTTGGCGACCAAATTTGGTGGGTAGGCTAGGTGAGCTACGGTGCACCTCATGTTTACATTTTCATCAGGGTGAGACTAAGGATTTGATATTGAAGAAAAATGCGGGTCGATTTCGGCATAATTGGGGATGGGCTATAGTATAATTAGGAGGACGCCCTCGACGTTTCGAACCGATGTCTCTAAATGGACGGAATCATCAGGATTTTTCTTAATTATGGTTCGACTGGAACCAAACTCGGCACATAGATAGAGGTACCCGAATGGAGTCCTCAGACGAAGAGACGGTCATTTTAATACAAATTTTGTGAAATTGAATCATATTATTTATTTTTAATTTATTACTTTTTCAACATTTCAAACTACACTTTTCCAAAAATGTCCTTTAAATCCCTTCAATTTAATAGCTGTTAGTAAGAATAAGTTAGTAAGTTACAAAATATGTTTAAGTTGCCTTCGTCAGTTATGTATCAATTATTATTCTTTTCCAGTGTTTCCAATGACAATAGATGCATAGATGGATGAATACAACTTTATAAAGTAATGAGTAAAAAAAATAAAGCTCGTGATATGAAAAATGACATGAAGGATAGATCTAGTGCTTATAAACTTACAATTGCCAGAAATTTCAACAGGGACATATCTTCTTCCACATTAATAATATCTGGACCGCGTTTGGTTCCATTAAGGGCATTTTTGTTCTGGTTCGCCTTCCTCCATCTTTTGAAGGCATTGTGTGGAGACGGAGAACGGATGGTTTTTCCGTGCCTTCCTGGTTTCCAGATTTCGGAGGCTTCGATTTCATGATCGCTGGGCTGTAACAAACAAAAAAATAAATAAATTACTAAATACAACAGCAGTTGTATTTCTATTCTATACAATAACTATAGTTTTATTGAATTTTTTGGCGAAATTTTTATTTTCTATGTTACGTTCTTGTTTAGCAAACAAATTCATTTGAATATTTACTTCTTTTTGAGTTTTAATCATATGCTGATGATGGTAACCTGTATTTTGGTGTATTGTGGCAAATTCATTATTATTTTGATGTTGGAAAGCGAGAAGAGGTTCCAATCCAAACCCAATTGTATTCTCTAAATTATAATGAATTTATCTTTTTAGTATCTAGGTTAGAAGTAAGTAGAGTACTGGATAAGACATTGTAAAGTCAAATCTCAGGTTATATGTATAAAAAAGCAGTATGCTTTTCATAAATACATCAACAGGTTGGAAAAAGATGGTGACGCGTTAGTTGTCGGTATATGGTTAAAGAAAATGCGCGGAGGTCAGCTTCATCCTCGTGTTGATGAGAAAAAATGTGCTATTAACACTTGAACGCATATCCCATATTCGTTAATAAATTAATTAAATCCTCCATCAATTGTCTGTTGAAACTAGCTTAATTAGATTAATAGCGGTATATGATATTTACTTATTAAGTTTAAAAAGTTTTAGGAATAAAAAGAGGGCATAAAAAGCACAAGAATCGACAAAACCAAAATTTACATTTCTTTTTCTTTCACTTTTTCATTTCACACTTTTTTTACAAGCAATGCATTTCTATTTATGTTTCAACATTGTCTGTTAAGTTCAAAGAAACGTTTAAACCTATCTAGACTGCATCTATATCCTCCTACGTAAAAATAACCACTTTTGTGCTAATTATAGTTTCGTAAATAAATGCAAATGAAAAAAACAAACAAGTGAAAATCGAAACTCGGCGTCGTCGGACGTCAAAACGTCGAATTTTTCCATCATGGTCGGGAGGTGTGAATCGGCTGTAATTAATGACGTCCAAATGACAGAAATAACCGGCAATTAGACAAATCGATCGTGACGTTCTTATAAACACACAATTGAAATAATAATCAACGGTTCCTAGCAAACTGATTTGCTTTAAATGATTTCGAAACATACACAATAATATATCGCTGGAGTTTAAACATTATCACAGCAAACGAGAAAGTAGGACGTTACTCATTCGAGATACAGGAACAAGCGAACAAAGGAAACGTTTTAAAACATCGAAAAAGATGTCGCTGATTAGAAGGGAACAGGATATTGCAATAAAAATGTGAAATCTACAATTATGCTTTCGAGGTACTTCTAAATATAATTACCAGATTTTTTCTTTTATAATGATATATTGTTTGAATACTTTTTCGCATAATTATCCTCAATTGTAATATTTTACATAAAAAATCGCACGAAAATCTAGCATAAAATTAAGTTCACCATTACTTTCTAATAGATACGTTGAACAAGAGTTTTTTTTATCGCTTTGACGTGATTTGGGCAAGGTACAGTTATCGTAGTCAATGTTAATGAAAATGTCAGCTAAACCACATTGAAAACACAATAAAGAACATAATTTCACGCCAATTAAGGAGGTTCTTTCGAAAATATGGACTGACCGTGGTCATGGTCTCCATTTAATCCGAATTTCGAACAAGGCTGGCGATGGTGTGCGAAATTTATCGGAAAATTAAATTATTTGTCGTACCGTTTTACCAAATATGTAAAATTTGGTTATATTAATGGAATTATAAGTGTTTCGAAGACACTTTGAAGTTCTGTTGTAATCCATATTGTTGAATTTAATATTAAAGAAGCTTTATTTTTAGAAATAGTATCTATATATTTAAACAATCTTTATCTATTTTCTTATAGTTTTTTTTTAGTTTTAATATAATTATAATAAATCATAATAACTAGGTTAGTATCATCATCTACTGATGATGCTAACATGGTCAGCGAAACGTGCGTACAGTGAACTAAAATGTAATGTGGTGAACTAGTGTTTTATTTTGCTGTTGTAATGCCAAAGGTTCCAATCTGTACTGTATCATTTATACATATTTTATAATACAAAGTAAAAATATCTAATATCATAATCTTGTAGAATATGAGACACTTGTTATTAAATTTTAGAATGAAATTATATTGACTATAGGCTATTTTAAGGAATAAAATAATGGTCTTTGAGTACCATGGAGATTGTATTAAAATTATAAAGAAATATATACTGGAGTATCCTACTCTAGGTGCCAGCTTACCAAGGTATAGAAGGCAATGAAAAAGTAAACGATCTAGCTAGAAAATGAGCGAACGCTCCACTAACTGAACCAGAACCGTTCTGCTTCCCAAGTGAACAAGTTGACAACCAACCTAAAAGACTCCATCAGTAACCTGGAATGTCTAAGACTCCAACTATCTAAGACACTCGAAGAAATTTCTCAGAACTTACGACCGAGAAAAATCAAAGATTTTTCTTGACTCTTGTAAGAACAATCTTCAGATTATCACGGTGTTTATAACAGAACACTGTTTCCTCAACCACCACCTCAGTAGATTGCAGCTAAAAAATAACGGCGAATGCAGATTCTATGGGGAAAATGGGGAAACACCAGAACACCTCATTACTGAGTGCGCCAAGACGACAACCATTCGTGCCATGAAGTTTGGTACGACTGATATCGAAGATGGGGAACTAACCTCTGTAAAACCGCCTCAGATAATGGCTTTTATCAAAGCTCTGAGACTGTATGATGAGTTATAAAGAAAGGGGGACACACAATAGATCTGTAACGACCAAACTATTGGAGAATCCTTGAGAATATTGTCCATATTACATATTGTAGATCACGTTAAATAACATTCTATGGCTTTGTATCGAAATATTTATCGTTAAATGTGTCGTTTCCGTTTCAACTACCTTTAATATGTAAGTAATTAATTAATCAGTTTTTATTACAGCTCGTCGTGCGATTGTAACCCCAATACTCGTTCCGCCAAACGGAAGAACAGACGAATTTCAAATGCGGGTCGTGCTTCGTCGGTCAAGATATTTTTTAAGGTCGCCGA